TCTTGGATTTCATCTATTGCATTTCTAATGTCAAACCAACCTTGCATTTCTGGAATAAATTTAATGTACTATTTCCACTCCTCTATTTTCATTCTTCTACTTCCTTTTGGGTTTAATTCCCCCACCCCACCCCCACCAAGTTCCTATAGTGGATTATTAGATCACAAATTTTAGATCTAAAATTCTTTTCTAATGTTAGCATTTTTCAACTATAAATCTCGTTAGTCCTGGGCTAGCTGCACCCTAAAAATTGTGGTATGTTGTATTTTTACATCATTTTATTGAACATATTTTCTGATTTTTTTCTCCTTTGACTTACAAATTATTTAGCCATGTATTGTTACTTGTTTTAAAAATCTATTTCTTAAGACAAATTATTCCTAACATTTTCAGTGTGGTCTGTTGTCTGAAAAAAATGCACAACCTAAAAGTTGAGAATTATATTATATTTGATAGACTTTCTGAGGACTTCAAACCTGGAGACAGCTTCTCAGATAGCTCTAAGGGACTGCTCTGAAAAAGAAGGGGAGGAGCTATGATAAATAGGAATTTTGCAATAAAAACCAGGTAGTGGAACATCAAAAGATTACCATTAATTATTGTTGTTCAGTCACTAATTAAAGAAAAGCAGACATCTCAGGTTAACGAGTTTAGCACTTTTCTTTGGGAAGATGCAAGCCTCTGGCTCACTGAAGCCGTTCCTCTGATGTGCACCTGAGCTGTGAGGGCCAGCATCCTGTTCTCCCCACCCTGAGTCCCCTCGGGGTGCACCACTGGGCTGGCTGCAGCGGCGTGATGACTGCCACATCCTTGGTTTACTGATAAGGCACGCAAAATTTTCATGGACAGGTCAGAGGGCCATATATGATATGTTTCAGTCCTCCTAAATTGACTGTATTATGGTCCAGAATCTAGTCTTAGTGAATGTACCATATGCACTTGAAATGAACATGTATTCTGAGCTTCCCTGGTGGTCCAGTAGTTGAGAGTCTACCTGGCAATGCAGGGGACCCTGATTTGGTCCCTGGTCCTGGAAGATGCCACGTGCCTCAGAGCAGTGAAGCCTCTGCGCCACCACCACTGAGCCTGCAAGCGACAGCGACCGAAGCCCACCTAGCTAGGGACGCTGCTCCACAACAAGAGGAGCCCCTGCAAGGAGAAACCCGAGCATCCCAAGAAAGAGGAGCCCCACTGCCGCAAGCAGAGAAAGCCTGCATGCAGCAACAAAGACTAACCACAGCCAAAAACAAAAACCTTAAAAAAGAAGAGCATGTATTCTGCAGTTGCTGGATGTAGTGTTCTATAACTGTGTCAAGGTTGTTGATAGTGTTTTTCAGACCTTCTGTCTTTATTGACATTTGTTCCAGTTGTTCTAACAATTATCAAGAATATTAAAAGCACCAACTATGTGGAATTTTCTGTTTCTTCCTTGAAGTATGTCAGTTTTTGTTCCACATACTTCGAAGCTATTATTTACTGTCGGTCATAGGTGGCCTCAGCCTGCAGTGGCTTGAAGCAGGGCTTCGGTTCCTGGCCAGAGATCGAGGTTGGGAGCAGCAGGGAGAATGCCGAATGCTGACCGCTACACACCAGGGGCAGTGGCCAGTGACAGGGCTCTGGCCCGTCTGCTGGGTAGAAATGGATTTCTGTATAGAGACAGGGATTAATGAAGTAAGTGGAGTATTTACTAGGAGGAAGAGTACAGTATGTGTGGATAGACACACAGGTGGGCTAAGCGGGAGTCTTGCCCTTGTGATAGTTTGAATCACTTTTTTGGGGCATTTCCTCCAGGTTTCCTTTGACCAATAGTCTTGCTTTGCCGGGTTCTGAGTCTGTCTTTGGCTTATCTCAGGATCTTCCTGCATGTGTGTGCATCTTTTAGCCAAGATGGGTTCTAGAGAAGAGGCCTGTGGGAAGTTGCATCACTTACTCTGAAGTGACGTTTCCTTCCTGTTGACCTCTGTGGAGCCTTTCTGGGCATGTGTAGTCTGGGAGGTCTCCTTAACTTTGAGGATGGAGTGTGTGGCCTTTTATCTCTTACCTGGGCAAGGCCCAGCCTCCTCCATCAACCTGCTTTATGGAGTTTCTGTCCACAGGAGAGAAACTGTTCGGCCTGGGACCCATCTGTCTCCTGCCTGAATATAAGCATTTATAATTACTATATCCTCCTGATGCAGGGACATTTTTATGAGATGTCTCTCTTTATCTCTGGTAATACCCTTTGCCTTGAAGTTTATTTTGTCTGACATTAATCTAGTCACCACAGGCTTCATTCATGTAACATTTGCAGTGTATCTTTTCCACTCACTTTCTAACCTATCTGTGTCTTTATATATTCAGGGCGTATTTGTTGCGGACAGCACGCAGCAGCATCTTTCTTTTCCCTTTTCCTGGTCAGCCCTGACAGCCCCCATGCTCTAACTGATCGGATGACCACCGCCCGCCACTGCTGGGGCGGTGGGGATGCCCTGTGCCTGTGCTCTGCTGAAGGCTGTCATGCTGCTACCAGACTTGCGAGTGGGCAAAGAGACTCCCCTCGCCCCCCAGAATTCTCACCTTTAAAGTCAGCAACAAATTTAAGTATCATGTGTGACTAGTGGCTGCTATATACAATTTGGTGGTTGTTATCCAGTCACTAAGTCATGTCCAACTCTTTGTAACCCCATGGACTGCAGAATGCCAGGCTCCTCTGTCTTCCACTATCTCTTGGGAGTTTGCTCAGATTCATGTTCATTGAGCTGGTGATGCCATCCAACCATCTCATTGTTGTCCCCTTCTCCTCCTGCCTTCAATTTTTCCCAGCATCAGAGTCTTTTCCAGTGAGTCAGATCTTCGTATCAGGTGGCCAAAGTATTGGAGCTTTAACTTGAGCATCAATGAATATTCAGGGTTGATTTCCTTTAGGACTGACTGGTTTGATTTCATTGCTCTCCAAGGGACTCTCAAGAGTCTTGATGTAGAAATTATGGATTCTAATCACCTTCCTCTAAAAATAATTTTTAAATAGGCGGTTAACTTAGGTGAACTCAATTGCAAAATCATCTCCCATACATGTTCTCTGAGCATGAAGTAGCTCAGATTTTACTTTAGTTCTTTTAGCCTTAGTGGTGCATGTGCGGCTCAGTGGTCAGCCATAGATGTGAAGAGTTTACAAAGAGAAACTGGGAATCCCGACTCTGGCTCTTCTGCTATTTGGTTGCTCCAAGTCTTGTGTTCTGGATCTCCAAGCCACAAAGACTGTAGATTTTCCACTGGAGGTTTACCTGCCTGTGTGGTGCAGACTAAGACCTGACCTCAGGCCAGAAGTGGTGGAAAAAGAGGAAATTCACCCTGTATAGAGTGCCTTTCTTGCAGTTGTTGACTCCCTTCTTTTGGTCACTTTCAGTAGCTGGCTTGTGTAAGCTCCACACCACAACTTCTATTTTTATTTCTGAAAGAGTGGGTTCAGTAGGAGCTATTTCATCCTACCAGAAACCTGAACTTATTTGGTCTCCCCTCACAACATTTGATAATGAAATTTCAAACATGTACCAAAGTTGAAAGAATTTTAGAGCAGCAATCTAGATTGTACAAATTTTCCAATATTTTATCATATATCTACTCATCCTTTAACACATCTTATTTTAAAGCATTTCAAAATAAACTGCGATCAATACACTTGCCCTCAAGTACTTTAGAGTTTATTTATAGAGAGTTCAACAACTGTTTTTTTTTTTAACTTTTTTGATGTAGAATTTTCACACAGTGCACATATCTGAACTTGTGCGTTCTTCAAGTTCTTAAAAAGCAGCTTTACTGGGTTATAATTTACGTACAATAAAATGACCAATTTGGTGCATAATTCAAGGGGTTTCAGAAAGTGTAACCAAACCCACAATCATGATAGAAACCCTTCTGTCACCGCCCGAGTTTCCCTCGTGCCACCAACCCCTCCCCACGCCTGCACTTATTCTTAAGGTCACCCAGTGGGCTGTGGGCAGGAGCCAGGGAGCCACGGTAGGAGGAGGAACTAGAGACGCAGAGGAGAGGCCGCTTACTGCCGAGTGTGCCCTGAAATGCCGGAGAAGACCGGAAGTGTGGAGTCGGGGCTCAGGCGGGCTCCTCATAGGACACAGGCTGTTTCGAGAGGCGGGAAGTAGCTCATGGAATCACAAGGTTCATTCCTGCCTCTTAAGGAAGATTCTGCCAATGGAAGCACAAAGGTGCCCACTTCTTGAACCTGTTATGGTATAAGGCGTTCAGAAAGCAAGAGCTCCCTCCATCTTCAAGAAGGCGGGCTCAGGCAGTTCACAGATCTGAGCCTCAGTTTATTCATTTGTGAAATGGACTTGCTTCCAGGGCTCAAGCGTCAGCTCACCCGTGGGGTCACTTGAACATGGACTCCCTGACCCCAGCCTCAGTCCCACGCAGCCTCCATGAGGACCCCCCTTTCCGGAGGCGGCAGGCAATGTGGATCTGTGCTTTCAGGGCAGGAAGCATGCGGTCTGCAGAGCTGTTCAACTCTGTTCAGAGTTGAGAGGCTGGGCTCTGGGACAAAGGGATCCTGGGACACAGTCTCCTCTGTAAACAGAGCCCCCATCGCCTGGAATCCAGAGGCCTAGTCGCCACCTGGCTGCAGCCCGGAGTCTTCAATCTCACCATCTTTCAGAAAAACCCAGCTGTGGTAGTGTGGGAAGGAGTGCTATTGGCAGGAAGTAGCTAATTTTTCAGAAGGCGTGGGTTTTGACCCTCGAGTTACCATTCTCTAAATGTCCCAGGGAGAGACTGCCAACCTGGTACTCATCAAGAATCATCCCGATTTATACTGATCGAGTTCCTGCCCGCACTTAGGAACACCGTTTCCTGTGATTCTTATAGTAATCCCACCAGGCAGGAAGGATAGCTGTGAGCCCCACTCAACAGATGAGAAAATGAAGACTCAGGTATCACATGACTTGCCTAAGGTCTCACAGGCCGTAGGGAACAGAGCTGGGGCTGGGCAATTCTAACAAACACGTGACTCAGCCTGGCCAATCAGACACCGCAAGGGGCTTTGGCCCGCACCTCTGGGAAAGAGGGATTTCCTCTCCTCTGGGATGACTGGCTTGCAGCTGCAGTGCTCCCTGGCTGGGTGGCTTGTCTGGCGCTGCCTGGGGCCTTGCACTGAGCCCAGCACCACCCGTGGTGGAGCACCGTGCTGGCGGGCACCCCGGGTGGTCGACCAGAGTCCTCTGGATGCCCACTCGGACGGCTGGGCCCCCACCCTGGGCTGGGCCCCCACCCTGGGCTGGCCTCACGGTCACATCAGCCTTTACTGCGAGCCCAGGGCCGCTGCTGGGCTCCGACCCGATGAGGGCTTCAGTGCTGTTGGAGCAGAAGGCAGCTTCCAAGAAGGCTTGAGCCTCACTTTTCTTACCAGCGGAAGGAACTAGTTTAATGCAGTGGCTTTTCAACTTTATGTTTTTAAGCAAAATGCAAAATAAAACAAACACACCCAGATGATATCCTTTACAAAACCCAAAACATAAGAGTAAAGGAAGCCTTCTCTGAGGGGGAGGAGGAGGCAGGAGACCCCACCCCTGCCTGCCCAGCCTCCTCCTGCCACAATACCTACCCCCCGACACCACTTCTGGTGTGAACACTGCCGACTTCTGAGGAACAGTCCGAAAAACCAGCATCTTAAAAAAAAGAATCTTTTAGAATTAACAACCAACTGGATCCTGAGTTACAGGATGAAGAGGCTGAGGACCACGGAAAGGAGCCCCACACAGAGGAATCCAGGCGCTGGGTCGTCTGAGGAGGGCGCCGTTCCCGCCCGTGGAGGGCACTTGGACGAGAAGCAGGGCTGTGCCCGCCGCCCTGACCCTGGCGGCTGGGGTCCCGCGGGCGTCCTGAACCTTTCTGGGCCTCAGCCCCTCCCTGTCAGTTCACCTGCAGGGGCTCCTGTGAGTGGGGTGCTTGTGTGCTTTGCTAGGTGCCTGCGGGCATGGCTGAGGACAGGGCAGGCAGGATGAAGTGTCGTGGGAAGCTGCCGGACAACGACCGTCAGGAGGCGCGTGGCGTCTGCGGAGCCTCGTGGGCCTCAGTGACCCACCGCAGCCCTTCCAGCAACGCCAACACACACCCAGAAAGCTGGAGGGGGGTGACAGGCCACACTCCTGCTCTGGAAAGTTTCAGCTGAATCAGGGGCACCCTTCCCAACAGAGCACAACTTACAATGTCAACCTTCCGTTCAGAACCGCTGACCCCACCATGAGAGTCCGCGTCACCAGAAGGATCATTTTGCATTATCTATCTATATTCTTTTAATATGGGGAAGTTTAATAGCTTTTATTCCAAGGCATAGAAAAGGGAGTTAAGAAAATATACAACTTTTTTTTCAAGTGAGAATATCAACAGTGACCACTGAAAGGATAACCAACACTCACGTTTGAAAGACTGACCTTTGCAGAGTTTTGCAGGGGGGCAGATAAAACATTAAGGGAAGTGAACACCCATTACAAACCAGGACATCCAATGTTTGGGGCTCAGGCCTTACATGTCAACTTCACAGAGCTTTCCTGCTCTCAGGAGGGAACCCACACGTTCCCGTGTGTATCAGGTGCTTTGACATAAGGGATGTTCCAAATCCATGGTCGATCTGGGGGAAAAAAAATTACATGAGTATAATACTTATTTGAATACGATTACAGAAAGTCCACTCACCTGATAGGATCAAGTCACTCACAGGCTGGAGTCGACATATCATGAGAGCCCTTTTCTGAACTGAGCCCTTTTGGGTAGGGGCTTGCAGTAAAGGTTCGTGTTAAGACATGGGAGCGTGAACCCCAGGGTGAATGCTGGCTTGCCACTAAGGTTCACAAGTCCCGTGACCTCTGAACTTCAGTTTCCTTATCTGCACCTAAGACGTGGAGCTGGCAGTAGGACTAAATGAGATACTGTTGTTGTTTAGTGCTCAGTCGTGTCCGGCTCTTTTGCAACTCCATGGATTGTAGCCCACCAGCCTCCTCTGTCCATGGGATTTCCTAGGCAAGAATCCTGGAGCGGGTTGCCATTTTCTTCTATAGGGGATCTTCCCAACAGAGGAAGCGAGCCCATGTTCCTGCAATGGCAGGCAGATTCTTTGCCACTGAGCCACCAGGGCAGCCCATTAAACGAGATAAGCTGATGAACTGTGCAAGATGCCGTGTTCCATCCGCACAGAGAGCCTAGAAAGGAGGGGGGGCTCTCGTTTTCTTCTTTTGAGAAGCTGGAGAAACCAGCAGTGACAACGGGGACAGGCAAATGGCCACTCTTCTGCCCTCAGCTGGTCACGGTCGCAGAATCACAGGCCCAGCAGGCATGTCCCTGAAGCGGCTTTGTCCTGTAACTTAAGGCCAGTGACTGGTGAGCCATGAAGATCTCTGAATGATGACTGCAGACTCACATCGAGGAAGGCAACAGGCCTTAGAATGGTACTGATACAACGGAAAGGAGACCCACGTTCAAATCCTGCCTTCGTCTTTGTCTGCGGCCTGGGGAAGGCTTGTGGGTCTTGGTCTTGGGTTCCCCATCTGTGAAATGGGAATTAATTACACTCGCAACCTCCCAGGATTACTGTGAAGCATGAATGCGAGAATGACTGGGAAGCTCGCTCCTGGCATATTGTAGGTGCTCAATAAATGTGAACTTTTTTTCCAAAAGAACCAAAATAATGTGAAAGTGTAAGTTGCTCAGTCATGTCTGACTCTTTGTGACCCCATGGACTATAGCCCATCAAGCTCCTCTGTCCATGGAATCTCCAGGCAAGAATACTGGAGTGGGTTGCCTTGGGTAGGGTGAAAATACATTGCAAGGATTAAAAATAAACCCCCCTACTACTGTTCTGAGAAACACGAGTGACGGAACAGGTCTGAAGGGCGGAGTGCTCACTCGGCAGGTCAGCTGGGATGGACCAGCCAGCCGCCCCTGGGGGAGGTGCTGGCTCTTCCTGAGCAGAGGCATATGGCCGCTGGGAGGCTGGCCTGCTTAACAATGGTACCTGCTGCTCATACCGCCCAGCCTCGCCATTGTGTTGAATAATCATAGTGTGAACTTGCAAACAGCAGCTCCCAGCAGCAGGAGCAGCCAAAGAATGACCAAGGTGGCAACACGTTATCAGAACCCTGTTCTCTAGCCTTTGGCGTCCAGATGGTTTGAAAGCAGGAAACCACACTTTCTGTGAATTTCCGTAAGAGGCAGGGGGCTAGCAGGGCTGGAGACCTGACTTTCACTGGCCGCTCTCCTGCCCTAGAAACATCTCCTTCTGTGTCTGCACGTCCCCGTACTTTCTCCTCTTTCCCTGCAAACTGCTCTGTGGGGTGACGGCAGCTGTGCTTCATTCCCCAGGCAGGAGACACTCTGACCCTTGCTGTATGAATAGCCAGTCAAGAGATTCTCAGCAGTGCAGGATCTGTGGCACATAGACATTTCCCAGTAAAACTGAAAAGACCACCGCTGCATTTACAGCGCACCCTCGAACAGCCGGGGTCTGACACGTGCAGGTCCACTTATGTGCTGGTATTTTTTCAATAAATACTACTACACGATGAGGGGTTGGTTGAATCTGGGGATGTGGAATCGGGGACATAAACGGCTTGTCATGGGACTCGAGGATCTGAGCGTTTTCTATCCAGGGGGTCCTGGAGGCACCCCTTGTGGACGCCAGCGGTGACTGCATTCCTTTCCTTCAAAATAAGCCAGTAATGTCCAAGTGAGGACCTGGAAACCACCTGCCTGGCAAATGCCATGCTCTGTTTTATAAATAAACAAATGTCTGTATTTCCTGGGCGGATTCTTTCCCATGCTGGCTGGAAGGCCCTCCATAGCCTTGGGGGAAAGCCACACACACAAACGCCAACAGGGAGGGGATGGTGGGCGTAAGTCACATTACCGCTCACTGGCTTAGATGAAGGCCTTGTCTCAGGCCGCCCTCCTCAACTGCCCCAGGAGGGAACGTGCCTCGTGACACAGTCGCGCGTGTGAGACACCTGTTAGTGCTGGTGAGGGGCCTGCACTCTGCTGGACAGGCTCCCCAGTCGGCTGAGCGGTAAGCAGTCTGCCTACCAATAAAGGAGATGTGGGTTCAATCCCAGGGTCAGGAAGATCCCCTGGAGAAGGGAATGGCAACCCACTCCAGGATTCTTGCCTGGGAAATCCCATGGACAGAGAAGCCTGGTGGGCTACAGTCCATGGGGCCGCAAGAGAGTCTGACACGACTGAGTGACTAAACACCACTACCCTGCTAGACAAAGCCGAGCACCTCTCCAGGTTCCAGTCCAGAGCGGAGGCAGACCTGGGCGCGCCCTGCTGCTGGGATGCTGACCCTCACTGCGTCTGCCCCGCAGTTCCCTGTCTGGGCTGACTGGGAACTGCTGGCACGTTTTTCTGGGACCCGCTGCTGGAGAGCTCGTTTCAGTAGGTCTGAGCCGGGCCTGGCAATGTGCCCCTTTGTCAAGACAGTGCCCAAGGCCCAAAGCTACGCACACACTTAGCCCAGGAGGCTAAGCCTAAGGCCATCATCACGCTGGGTCTTCCCCACCACCAATATGTTTACTCAAGAGAACTGGGAGGTTGGGGGGCAGGAAGGAGGGAATGGGATGGAAAAACAAGAGAAAAGAAAAAAGATAAAGGCACAGCCCAAAGTCAGCAGGGGAAGGAGGGCATTGGGTCACATCCTGGGTCAGGGACTGTCCCGCATGAGTCTCAGGCTCTGTCCACTTATCAGGGGTGGGGGAGAGAATGACCATCCACTCCCTGTTATAACTGCATCGGGCATTTTAAGTACCAGAAACTAGTTAATAGCAACTGGATACTAATTCTGAGCTGGACACTAGTTAGATGCTCTTGAGACCTCATTCTCAGTCGCTCTTCAGCAGTGAGCTGTGTGCTTTCATTTTCTCATTTTGTAAATGGAGACACTAAGGCCTAGATAAGGCAAACCACCACCCAGCGTCACATGATAAGCTGTCAGGCTGGTGCATAAACACCTGGATCTAAAGCAGTGTTTTCCATCTGTGAGCTGGAGGGTGGGGAGATGTGGTCACAGATTCCTTGAAATTCTGATAGAACCTCTTGCTAGTGAAAAACAAATATGGTGAATTTACAACAGCATACTTAGAGGACTCAGAAAAACACACATGGCTTGGAAGGGAGGGAACAAGAATGCTTTTGGAAGCTGTCCATGTGACCAGAGAGAGGAAGCCAGCTGTGTGAAGCAGGAGGGGCTTGTCAGACGAGCCCAGATGACTCAAGAGTGGTGCCATCAGAAGGGCAGGCTCGGCTCACCATGAAGCCAGAAGAGTGAGTGAGGGCGGGAGGCAGCCAGACCCCAGCCAGCCTCAATCGGGGGAGGAAGGGACCCGCCGACCCCATTAGGGAACCCAAAGTTTGGGAGTATTAATGGGATGACATCATTAACACTTTCCAATCAAACCTCAAACTTGCCCTGTTCACATTTAGCGTTTGCTCAGAAACTGTGGACTATAACTTGCCTACCCCAGTAGACGTCTACCCTACAGGGGAAAATGCACCAGGATCTGCCCCGTCCTGACTGTATTACATCTCCCCCTGTGTGAGCTGGGCGAAGCGTGAACTTGCCTCAAAGCCAGACTTCCCGGGGCTGAGAGAAGTGCTCTGGGGCTGGAGGGGCCACGTCAGAGCAGGCGTGGAGGTGGGGCCGCCCACCCCGGCCAGCCTCCCTCTAGAAACACTGGGAACCCAGACCAAGATGCCACAGACTTCCTCTTGTGAAAAACACCTGGTCTCTGACCTTAAAGTCCTCGCCTAGCGCAGCAGTTTTCAGCGAGTGACTTGAGGACCTACATTTCAAGGAGGTGGGGGTACACCTGTAGAGTGAAAGTGACGGTCATCCTAACATGGAGTCGTCACTGGTCACTGCTGCCTGGGTGTACAGAGGCGACACGACATGTGTGCCAGCACACGGAGCAGCGATGAGGCTCCAGCCATTAACCCAGACAGTGAATGAGTCTGCAAAACGGGAAACAAGGCCATCTTCCAAACTAACTTGAATTGGCGAATAGTCATTTTAGATATTTTAAATATATCAATGGGCTTATTGTTATTTTAAAACAAGTCAATAAGTACTTTAAAATTTTTTGGTTTTAACTTCTGATAAGACAGATATCAACAGCTATAGAAACCCGTGTAATGGAAAGCTGTCTGTGGTTCTTGATCAGTAAGGGTACGGGGGATTTTGAGACCCAGCGGCATGAGAGCCGTGTCTCTGGGCTGCGGAAGGGGCAGGGAACCTGTGCTCCCAGAGCAGGGCGCCAGCGGGCTCCCGCCAAGAGCGCACCCTGTGGCTCTCTCTCAGCACTGGCACTCACACCCGAGCTGCTCTGTCCCCTGGGTCTCACCTCTGTCCCCGTACAGTTCTGGAGGCAGGTCGTACGGCACAGGGAAGGAGGCTGCGGGCTCCTGGCTGCTCCCAGAGAAGAATTTCTGTTTCACTTTGAAACTGTCCAGGCCCTGCAAACACACAGGATCTATAATTGCATCTCATTTTCTGGAAGAAGGTCCCAAGATGCAATTATATTTTTATGGTGCTCACAACAAAATTCACAGCTATTTTTGTGACTGTTTCAGAGCCTTTTCTGATATTGGTTAGGTCAAATATATTTATGACACTCTGCAAATTACTCTTTTCCTAAAAATGAGATGTCCAAGTTTCGGAAAATTAGACCAAAGCTTGCAAAAGTTTAATAAAGTATACAAAGATAAACGAGAAAAAAAAATTTTTTTAGCTGTGATAGCCCGTTTCTACCAATCTCTGTGTACAGCAGCAGGGAATATGTAGAAGATACTATAAAATACTTCGAATACTTTCAATATTGCTGTAGTAATGGGTTGCTCACTCTGGTGAAGTGTAAAAGTTGCTTTCACGTATAATCGAAGTGTCCAAGATAATGGGATAGGAATGTAACAATGAGAACTCAACAAGACCCACCCAAATGAAGGCTGAGTCTAAGAACTCCAGAAGAGGCTAGTACTAACTTCGGATCCTGATCGGGATGCAAGGCCAGGGGCCACATCCGGCCGGTGTTCATACTGCTCCTGCCTGCTCACATGGGGCCTGCCCCCAACATGGGCACCCCAGAGGTCAGCTGGGTGCTCCCCACACCACTGATCATTCCCCGGCCCCTTCCCAGATGACCCCAGCACGCTGTTTCTACCTCATTCCTCTGGGCACCCGTTCACACTCATGTTGCTCCTTCTCTTCCTAGACGCCCACAGAGCAAACGGGGCTCTGTCTCCGGAACCTGTACAAAGTGCCAGGCCTACAGCTCCTATCCTGGTGAGCATACAACTTAGACTTGGGAAGGAGAGGCTGCTCCTTCCTGGGCACAGCAGGGCATGGTAAGCGCCAGCGCCGTGTGGACCTGGCCTTCGGACAACCCGGGCTGAGTCTGTACGGGTATCAAGGGCGATGTGAGTGGCTCAGGCTGCATTCATTCACCCCACTCATGACTCCTTGAGCCCCGCTTCTGGGTCAGCCTGTACTCAACGTACAGGGGTCACCAAAACTGTCACAATCCCTGTTCTCACGGGAGGTACAGTCTAGTGGGGAGACAGTAAACAAACACATTTATAGAAGTAAAACAAACGATTACAATTTGTGAGAGGCGCTATGAATAACAACAGGGGAGTCCTAAGAAAATAGTAGGCCTGTTTTAGATTTGTTGGGGAGGGGTGTTCAGGGGAAGCCTCCCGAAGAGGGTGACATTTTAGTTAAACTTTGAAAGGTGAACTGTATTTGGTCAGGTGAGGGTGGGTCCAGGAGGAGGGCACAGAATCCCCAGTGGCCCAGAGGCGGCAGAAAACTTGTGTGCAAGAGGAACTAGACAAGATGGTCACAGGGGTACTGGGCCACTCGCCCATTAGGCCTCCGTTCCCTCCCCTGCAACAGGGGAGCGATGCCCTTCTAGATGTGTGCTCAGTCATGTCTGACTGCCCCAGCCCTCAGTCCATGGGATTTCCCAGGTAAGACCACTGGAGTGTGTTTCTATGTCCTCCTCCAGGGGATCTTCCCCACCAGGGACTGAAACTGCATCTCCTGCGTTGACAGGCGGATTCTTTACCACTTGCAACTCCTGGGACGCCCCCACTTCTGGATGTTACTGCATTAATGCATCTCACTTCAACACCCAGCACAAGCCTTGATGTATAGTTGGTGGTCCGGGAGGCTGAGCAGAAGCCTTGTGGGCAGGAGGGGACGTGCAGGGAGGGAGGGGTGATGCTCCGCCCCAGATGCGGGTGAGTAAAGCTGCGACAGGCAACACGTGAGACTCTGCGCAGAGAAGAAATGACCTCGTAATGGTGGTCGGTTAAGAAAGGGCTCCACAGAAAATACTTTTGCTGGACCTTGAAAACTTGATATAATTATGATAAACGGAGAGCTGGCAAGAAGCAGCGTGGTGGGGGGAGGCGGGGAGGCCAACCTGATGGGAGGCACGGCAGGGGGACGGTGGGCGGGGGGGAGCGCTGGCCGCAGAGGGCTGAGCAGGGGAAGCAGCGCAGACGCCTGCGGCCCTCCCGGCTGAACCCGTCTCCTGGCCACGGTGAGGGGCATGAGCCCTGAGTCAGGGATACGGGGGAGAGACCACCTTTCTCTGGGGAGCTCGTCTCGCTACAGGAGCCACTGACTGAAACTGCCACCCTGTTCAGCCATGACAGTCACGCCTTGCATGAGTTATCTTATGACAAGGGGTCCCCGCAAGGAATGCAGAACTAACAAGCTACCCGAACTGGAAGAATTTGGGAAAGGTCAAAAGGAGAGAGCAGACTCCAGTCCAAATGTCTAGCAACCTCCCAGAATCCTCTGTGCTGGAATCCATCTTGGCTGAGTAACGCTTGTGCCGCCAAGAAGGACCCTGAGTCAGAGTGACTGGCCAGAGACAACCTGGAAACTAAGCCAGTCACCACAGAGGCCGAGACCGTGAGCCCCGTGGCAGAGTGGTCCTCCTGGGTCTCCTCTCCCTCCTGCTCTGCACCCGGCGCTCCTTCCCAATAAGGTCTCTTGCCTGGTCAGCACGTGTGTCTCCTCGGACAATTCATTTCAGAGTGTTAGACAAGAGCCCTCCCTCAGGGCTATGGAAGGCCCCAACTTGCAACAGTTTGGCAATGTGTGAGCCCCAAGCTGCCCACCGGGTTCCATGTCCTTCAAATGGAACTGGGCATTAGAAGAAATGAATCCAGATGACACCGCCCAGACCTCTGGATCCAGCCCCGCCTGAAGCAAGTTTCAGCTGGCTATCCTTCACTTCAACCCGGGGTGTCGCAGGACCCTGGTGAGAGAGTGGCCTTTACTGTGATGTACAGTGAGGAGTTGCAGAAGGTTTTCTGAGCAAGTAAGTTCCACTGTAAAGGCGGACATGGCAACCCACTCCAGTATCTTTGCCCGGGAAATCCCATGGACAGAGGAGCCTGGCGGGCTACTGTCCACAGGGTCACAAAAAGTCAGAAACGACTTAGCAACTGAATAACAAGACAGGATGAGGCAAATTCTGGAAACCCTGGCCCTTGACATCTTAAAAAAAAAGGAGGCCAGAGGTTGGGAAGTGATGCCAATTTAATGATTATCAAAAACTTTATGGCATTTCAGGCAAAAAAGTGACTTCCCTCTTCTTTAGCTCCCGGCTTACTTGCATCACTTCTCAAATGAGTATGGTGAGGGATGGTGAGTCTTTGTGGCTCGGACCCAGATCTCAGACCCCCAGCGCCGTTCTGCGGGGGCTGACTCACACACCGGAAGCTGTGAGCTGTCCACGTCTGACAGGAGGCAGTGTGCTCTCTCCTAGACCGCCGTTTCTGATCCAAATTCTAGGGTATCACATATATGTATCTATGTATTTCCCCTTCAATCTGGATGTCAAATAATTTGAGGCTGTCTTCTAATCATCATCATTTATATATCTCAGTGGTACCAGCTGGCATTTTACAAAACAGAGGAAGGCACCCTCCCAGGCATGGGTCACTTTGAAGACAGCTATTATGACAATATAGGGATAAAACACCAGGTGAGAGGGTGGACATGAACCACGCCTGAGAAATTACTGGCTTTTCCCTCCATCAGCTCTGGGAGGGAAAGAGCTGGTTCTCACTGTGGCAGATTACGTTTAGCAGCTTAGCTCAGTCACAGAGAGTAAGAAGCAGGCTCACATTTCAGTTCCAGATGTAACTTATGTTTTTAGTTGCATCTAACCGAGCAGCATCCTCAAGCAGTAAAACCCTAGGCAAGGTATCCAATTTTCCTGGGTGAACACTAGTGGCAGATGAATCTTCTAGAAGGAGTGAGTGCCTTTCATCAAAGATGCATCGATTGACAAGGAAGTGAGCTACAGGAAGGTGGCTTTCTTGCTTCTCCTGAAGTATATGATCTTTCGGGCCTCCAGCCGGAGGCTCTGGAAAAGCTCTGTGAAACAGCATACTCCTTGCAGGGCCGAGAGTGATGGGCTCTTGAGAAGCGAGTGGCTGACTATGAGAGTGTGGAGGACGTTCTGGTAGGAGAGAAAGTAACACTGCGCCATCACGGGTGTGACAGCAAGATTTCGGGTCACTTAAAGCTCAGTCTCTGCCTTTGCCTTCTATTGAGTGGCTTGGTCTACGTGCTAGTTTATGTTAACTGTGGCCTGCGCTCAGCACTTGCTAAGTACCTGGTGCTGCTGTAAATACTTTACATGTAACCACTCTTCACTCTCAAATGACCGCCCACGTCATGGCGGCGAAGGAAGCCCAGAGAAGTAAAAAGGAAGTAAAAAGGCCGAGAATCATGGCTCGTAAATAAGCAGAGCTGCAACCACCTCCCTCCTCTTTCTGTCATTTTGGTTCCTACAGATCCGAAGTCCCTAAACCTTCAGACTCTGTGCTCTGGGAGAGTTCCCTTTCTTGGTCCTTGGAATTTCTCCAATCCTATATTGTCTCTTTGAGTTACTTCTAACTGAGCACAAAGCAGGCTCGGAGGGTCACACAGCTAGGAAACGGCCATGGCTGCCACAGCCCACCTCACTGGATGCCGACAAGCACGTGTGCGTGGTGGGGCCCCGGGGTGGGGGCAGAAAGCAGGGGGAGAGGAGGCGGGAGGCACGCTGCCCCCACTCACTGTGTGCTGTCAGTAAGGACACCGGACGCTGTCTCCTGGACCACGGAAGGCTTCAGGCAGAGAAACACAGACCCTGATGGGGGCAGAAGCCGCTTCAGGAGGCGGGAGCCGAGGAGGGCGGATGGGCTGGGCCCGGGGCAGCGGGGGCTGGGCCCAGCAGATGGGACGGGCGGGCGCGGGGGCTGCACGCGGACAGTGAGCGGCGGGGTGGGGCGTGGGGGTGCGCCGAGGGAAGGCCAGGACGTGGTCCTGTCAGCTGAGCGGAAGAACACCAGAGGTACAAAGAAACATCACCTCAAACCTGGCGCTCAGCCGTGGCCTCCTGGGAAACTCTGAGAGCCCAAGCCATGTGCTGGGCCCCGGGCAGGTT